AGCGGGCCCCGGGCGGAGCGGGGCTGTCCAGCCCCGGAGGCCTGGCCCAGGGCTGCCGCTCAGCCCTGCTGCTTTCACCGCGCTGCTGCATCACAGTTGAGCTGTTTTACAATGAATAATGTTTCCTCCTTCGTCGCACCAAAAATTGGGGCTTCCTATTGGTATTGAATTGACGCCAACTGCCACTGGTTGACATAATCACCAGACTGAAAATGACCACCTTAGAATTGGCCCCCTTTTTTAGCTTGTCTGCACCAATACTGATGTAACTTCCCCTTCCTTTATCATAAACACTCCTTGCCTTTGTCTCTAATTGGAAGAGTCCTTAGGCTTCTGCCTGAATCAGAGCTTCCCCAATAGCTATTCTTGCTGGATCTCAAGTAAATGCTTGATGCCTCTCACGGGCTTTTATATATTTTTTCAGGTGAACATGCATCATGTCACAATCTGTTGGAAATGCAAACTTGCAGGCGCTTTGACAATGAACTGAATCAGAAACTGCAGGGGTGCTGTGGAAAGTCTGTGGGTGCAAGGGGACCAGCTAAGCACAGGCACCACTGGCCTGGAGCCATCAGGCTAGTGACTCCCCAGCCACCAGCCTTGGTCCTGCAACGATGCTTTTCGGGGCTAATTCTAACGCAGGCGCACTCACCAGCGCGAACTCCTTGTTGAGAATCATCTGCTCCACCAGCGAGGACTCGTTGTGGAAGAGGTGGGGCTGCATGTGGCTCCACATGTGCGGGAACCACCAGAACTCGGCCACGGACCCCAGCAGGCGGTCGTCGCCTTTGTCTTCCTCCTCGGTCCCTGCAAAACATAAGGTTAAAACAGCTCCAGTGAAATTTCCCATTAGCTTAAAGGTTATGTTTGTCAGATGTTTGTTATTTGTCTTATTCCTGACACATAAATCCAATTTCGTGTTGTCTAATGAAAATAATGACCGTGCTCTAAATTACAGCAGAGGCCAGGGGCCTGGGAGGGCGTGAGGTGGGGTAGGCGTGGCGCCCCGGGGCAGAGAGGTTTAATTTAGGGCTTAGTGGTATTTCCTCACTGACATTGTTGAGAATCAGAGCACAAACTTTGTTTTAGACTGTTTTCTTTCCTTTTAAAATCAACTGATAATTCTGCCCTTACTGCATGCTGCAAGTCTAAAATGGAGCTTCAAACTTCACTGATGTTTGTTAATTTTTTTGATTACAAAAATAAAATGTGCTATTGAAGAGAGATGAAGAGCACAGACTAGTGACACATAACCTCAAAAACAAAAGCAAAACAGACCAGCACCGAGGCGGCCTTCCAGAACAGGCCTCTGGAGACACTTCGGAATCTTTCTTTTAAATCATTTTCTACTTATTTTTTCAAAAGCTCATTTTGCAGAAATACTTTTGTCTTTACTTTTTTAACTTAATATTATGAACATAAACATTTCCCATTTTGATAAAAATAGTTCATAAAATGTAAATAATGAATCTATGAACATACTAGAAACATAATTTGAAAATTTAAAATTAACATTAATTTCTCATTCTCTGTTAGGAAATGTTAACAGTGTCCAGTGCATAGGATAGAAACCACTGTCATGCCAAATTAAAAAAACAAACAAAAGAAATCGGAAATAACATAGTACTCAGGGTTCACCAAGTGGCAGCTGTTCAAGGATATCTTGACTGTACGAAATAATTAGTGTGTACAATTTTACAACATTCAGTTCTATTTTCCAATGTTCTGAGTCAATAACATGAGCACTGATTCCTCTTTAGTCTCTAGATACTTAACCAAACAAATAAAGCAAAACAAATCCTGGCTTATGGTGCGAGGTGTATTTACTTGGTGTACTTTTTACATGGGCTGCTTGGTTTTATATTCTTAAATTAAACAAATAAATACGAAAGGTGTTTTCTGAAAGGAATCTTCCCCAAACGCTCTGCTGTGTGTCCTGCAGGAGAGCTCGCGGTCGGGTGCGATCGGCGCGGGACCAGAGTGCCTGCTTCTCCCCCCTCAACGGTGTGGTCTGGGCAAGGCGCTCCTCTGAGTCTCGGTTGCCTGGCCTGAAATCGGGCTATAAACGCCTCGGGCGCAGCATCTTTGGGAAGGGCCAGTGAGATGAATTTGTGAAGGACTGAACACTGTGCCTTGCAGACGGTAGGCACTTCGTAAATACTGTATTAGGATCTCTTCTTAAAATAATCCCTACTGGTTTATACCGGCAACGTTCTAAATTTATATATTTTCAAACACTCTTCAAGGAACTGCCTGCCTGGATTATTAGTTTCTGACCGTCAGGGATGGGATCCTTTAGCTCACAAGGGGTCGGCCGCTCCTAGAGTGTGAATAGTGAGTAATTTAATTCGGTCTGCGGGCCATGGACGTCAGAGCTTCGATGTCTGCTGAGGGCACGTGGACTGCTGTGCGCGGTACAGTGTGTGCTCTGCTCCCGGGACCACCCTCCAGAGTCCTCCTGTCATTGCTCCCGGGACCGTCCTTGGTCCGGTTCTCAAAAGGAGCGAGCCCCAGGCTCAGGGTGTGGCGCGGCCACTACTATAAAGGTTGCAACTATACGAAGGGAAACAGGGGCTTTGGACATGATGAAGTCCTGTGGATAAGAGGAGCAGACAGAGTGCTTAACTTTTGTTAACTTTCTCTAAAATGTTAGTGCTGCAGACTTACAACTCATTGACTTATTATTTTTATATTAAGAATGTCAATTATTGAAATCGAAGAAAAGACGAGTTTGTCACTTGCTTAGGTGGACTGTGAGCACGAATGGTTTTGCTGTGGGCCGAGTGTTTCTGGTGGCCACAGTCTAGCACCTGAGGCACAGGCTAGAGCTGCCTCCTGTCACATGCAGTGCGAGCTGAGGCTCTGCCACCGTCCCCTGTGCCGCTAGCAGAGGGTCTGAGAAAGGCTCGCGGGCCTTCTCTGCTCCCGGACGGCTGCTGGGAGCGGGGGGAGCGCAGATGCGCCGCTGAAAGAGGGTTGCACAGACTGGGGACCCAGCAATGCTTTGCCCTATAAGATCCTATTAATTTTATACTAGAGGTTGTCTTGGTTTATAAACCCTCCCCTGGAGGTTGAGAGTGATGGTTCCAGCCTCTTTCTTTCACTTTGAGGATTAACTTCTCACCAGCCCTCTTACTTCACATGGGTCACCCAACTCAGAGCCACGCGCGTGAGCGCCTGCTCCCAGAAATAGCTCAGTGACAAACAGGTGTCAAGTCCTCTGAGGGACTCGACTTGCAGAGCAGAATTTCAGACGCTGGCAAATACAACTGAATGAAAATATTAAATTTTCATTCACTGTAAACATATTTTTCACACATGGTTTGAGTTTAAGTTACAGGTGAGAATAGAGTGTGCAGTTTACACAGGCTCCCACCTAACACAAGTTACGGACCTTTACAGTGTCTGTGGCCATGTTCACGTCTAACCTCGTCCAGACTCAAGTCTGCATCGTTACTAATTAGAAATATAGTATTCTTGTTCTTATTTAAAAGTTATTTCCTTTTACTTTTTTTGATTCCCAGAAAATAAAGTGTTTCAATTCAGAAGTAAAATATTGAAGAATTCATTTATTTTTACCACTTTTGGAGAAATTTGTGTTATGAGGTAACAGTATGTTTCTACAATTCTTCAAGTCTGCCAAGATGAGAGCAATTTTAGCAAGACCTGGCTAAAGGTTAATTTCCATAAGGCATCGCTGTGACATTAGAATAAAATATGTAAAATCCAGTGTCTGCATTACTGCCTTTGTACAAATGTGCGCCTCATAGTTGCTCATTATGTGTGAACACTGTAATTCCTAAGTGACAGCAAGACGTTCCTAGCTTTCTTTTCACACTGAACCTGACAAGGGCTCATACAGTTGGGTATAGAATAAACTAATTTTAATATTATACTAAATAAAAAGAACTGTATTGTGGTAAAGATTAATTAAAAGCCACCTATATTTCCAAAATTAGAACAGAGACCTTGGAAGTGTTGGCTGTTTACTTTTTTGATCATATTTGACTGTTGTACAAACATGCTTCTAAAGGTCACACTAAGAAGCACTTTCCCAGCACTAACACACGGTGCTCTGCTCTGGGGAGGAGAGAGCTTCGCTGTTGCCATTTTGGAGATGCGGAAACCCAGGCACAGAAAGGTTTAGAAACCTGCTTATGCTCACACAGAGCTGGGATCTGAACAACAGCAGTCTGCTTCCGATATCTGCTCTCAGAACCAATACCTTACTCAGGAAAGCAAAAAAAAACAAAAAACAAAAAAACAAAGCAAGAACAAAGAAGGAATGGAACTCTTTTATGTTTGAAAGTTAATAGTTTTCACATAAAGGGTTTTTTTATTATAAACTGAGCTCTAACAAAAAAGACCAATATGAATCCAGTTTGCAAATATTATTCCTGCAGTAACTGATTGTGTCACCGTCAGTGCAAGACTAATCAGGAAGGGCAGTGACAATCACCCCCAGAAATCGCGTCCTGCAGGAGACACGGGCAGCCCTCCCACCCGAGGGCTCTCCCTGCTGTAACGTCTCCACTTCTCCACCCAGCTGCCGCTGTGGGACGGCAGCCAAGCTTTAATAGCTCCAGGCCAAAATATTTCACCCCAAACTCCATGCTTTTATTTATTTTGTTTTCTATTAATCAATGGTATGTCCTTCGTTCTTCAATTTGGTACCCGAGAGTGATTGGCTTTTAGGGAAGGCTCAGCGATGTGTCCTTTGGGGGAGCTTGTCTTTAGCACACGAAGGACAGGGAAACTGAGCAGGGAAGGGTGCATGGGACATGCGGGAAGAGAAGTGGGCTAAGAGAGGTGGCATCTGCCCTCCTCACACTGGGAGGATGTGACGAAATGCCTTCAAAACAGGGGGCTCATCACTCAGCAGCACCCAGGGCATAGGGAAATCAGATCATCCCTGGAGAGGACAGAGACAGTCCTTGTGACAAGGCCACCTCCTCATGGTTACACAAGGCAGCCAAGTGACAGCTCCAGGTAGGAAAGTGGCTGGATGGGGGGAGGCGTGCCCTCCGCTGCGGGCAGCACCCACTCCTAACTCTGCTGCAGTGAATTAATGTGGACTAAGTATAACATAACAACACACCCTGGAAATACATTCTGAATGCATTTCATAGAGTAGCAAATCAATTAAAGCTTCATATTGATGGGAAGGAAATTAAACTCTGAGGCCTTACAGATTTATGCCTGTCACTTAGTCTCCAACGTGCACTGTCACCATAGTGCAATGGAAGAGTGTCTATTCCATTACTGTTGTTCAGTTAATACCAGCAAACAGAGTCAATGAGTTTCGTTTAAGGGATAATTAAAATATATTTTTTGTATCTTCCTCGGATACTGTCGCTGTGATATCCTCCTGTGCCGTTGGTTTCCTAGTGGGCATGTGCTATAAACATGTCCAGTTATAAATAAGAAATGAGGAGCGATAACCTCCACCAACATTAACTCTAAGACCAGCACGCAGAATTAGCAGGCCTGAATATGAAAAGTAAGTAAAAGTGGAGGCACTTTTCCAGATATATTTCAGCCCAAAAGATGGCTTTACTTACACTATCTGGCTATTTAAAACAAAATAGTATTGTTTGTGTGTGCTCCCAATAATATCATTTTTTTTCCACGCATGAGTAGATGCAGCCGTAGATGCCTGTGCTTTACGACTTCACAGCCAGAGCAGCTTAGGCCTGAGCTCATTTCTTGAGGGGCCCTGAGAAGATTTACAAAACCAGGTCTGTGTGCGGAATGGTGAGCTGGAACTGCTCTGCCTGTGCAGATATGAAGGCAAGAATCTCTCTCTGCAAAATGCCCTTTTAAAATATGCAATCATTTGATTTATCAGCTGGTTTAAATACTAATTTTCCTTCCATTACTGTAAACAGATTTACATGTTTCAAAGCGAGAGGGAAAACGCATTAAAGAAAAGCCAGTAAGACATCGCCGCTTCAATACTCCAATAAATCACGCTGAGCCTCTGGAAAATCACTGTGGAGCCTCTTTGGGTAAATGAGCTGCATTTATGATAATTAAAGATACCTTTGCGTGGGATATTTTTAACGAGTCAACAAGCAGCAGGCATGCACAGATAACACCACGGGGTGTCCTCAGGGAGACACTGCTGTGCAGAGCCCTACGGGACGCGTGCGTGGGCTCACGCTGAGGTGCCAATGGCCACCGGCAGCGGCTTTGCCCTGGGACGGCTCTCACAAGCCACGGGTGCCATTTCTGTCATCATCATGAGGCAATCCCTTTTATGCACATGGCTTTCTCTGTTCCACTGCTACACATTTTGATGCTCATACTCAGAAAATAAAAGTCCATTTCTGGAGGCGAAGACGGGCCAAGGTGGGAAATATCAGAGCACGGCCTTGTGCGTGGACACCAGCCACCTGAGGACTCGTGGACTGGCGAGACCTGAATAGCACAAGTAGCTCTCTGGCTGGATGGAGATGGAGAGAAATGCAAGGCCTGACTGTGATGTCTTTAATGCACGTTGGGCCGATTTATTGATAATATCTTTAGGGAAATACCCTGTAAGGGAAGGTGAATTAGGAAGGATGACCTTTGAAACTATTACATTTCATTGGGGCTATAAAATTCCTCTCTTATTAAAGAATGTTTTCCAAAGGAAAATAATATTTACAAAACTGTCTGCTACCTCGGCTACCTGATAATTTTAAAACAGTGCCTATTATTATTATTACGGGGTCCCTGTCGCCATCTTCGCCGTCACTGTGCTTTCTACCTCTGCTGTGCTGCCTGGGACTCAAGATGCACAAAAGCACCTAGCACAGTGGTTATGGCTTCTCCTACGACTTGAAAAACCCAATCCCTTCCTCTTTTGCCCTTGATTCTAAAAGTCTTTGCCAAAGTAACCTAGCATATTGATTTTGGGCTCGGCTGCTCATCTAATGCACCCACGTCTTCCCCGAAATCTGTCCGGACATTCTGTTCGCCTGCTTATGACACATTTACAATCCGCTCTCCTAAGGATACGCAGCTGCCTGAGAACACCACGCCCCTTCTTACCTGTGTGGTAAAACTTCCCTGAAAATCCAAGGTTGAAGGTAAAATTTGCAACCTGAGTGCGCAGTAAATTTTGAGTCTCTAGTAAGGCCTGAAATAAACAAGAAATTAACATGATTTTAGAAAAATAAATATGAAGCTTTGGGATGCCTCTTTCAAATGTGTAGGCATGAGTGAAACAAACATGAACTCTGTGGCCTGGGGGCTTTCCATGGGGATGTCAGTTGCTGCTCCTATTTCAGGTACGACAATGGCTATTGTTGCCATGTTGGTGGAAGGTCCCCAAACTCAGAAGCATTTAAGGTGATCCTCTAACACAGCGCTGAGGTCTCTGTTCACTTCTGAGTGAGATTTCTTGAATTCCAGATTATTATACTTATTTTGTTGGGGAAACCTTTCAGAATTACTGGATCTAGACAAGTCCTGTATTTGTCGCTATGGAATAGGAAGTTAACTTTTGTTTAAGTTGAGATTTAGTATTTTACTTAACTGTGCTACCACCCCCATCGTTTTAAAGATGTAATTGTTGAGTTTAAAGCTTTGGATTTTATTTTACAAACTAAAGAGCAATGTCTATTACACAGGGTGTGGACTGCAGATCTTGAGCCATGAACAGAAAGGGCAGGTAGGAAGCAGGTGGTCAATTTTAGAAAGAGAAAATCTCTAAGTGTGGCAAAAATGTCCCTAGTTTCTAGAGATGTAATTAATCCATGTTAGTTTCTTGATTATAGACAGGATAAAAAATCACTGGTGATAATCTTAGGGTCAGACCTAGTCCTGTGAATTTTCTGCCAGTCCTCCCATGTCCACGGTGCAGCAGAATTCAGAACTCTTGCCTCCGTGGGTTTTTTACTTTGCTTATTGATTCAGATGCTTTCTCTGCCTTTTTATAGATTTTTAAAGAGGACTTATTTTGTTCTGATGGAAACGAGACACTCATTTCAAGCTAGGGATATTGATAAGATGGATTCCCGGTTACTGCTCTCCACGGGCAAGATGAGCAAAGAGCCAGGGGTGTAGACGGTTTCTGTTGAGCATTATGGTGGCTGAGCACTTGCTTCAAAATTTGTGAACCTATTTATTTTCCCAGAATCAAGAGGGTGCTCCTGCAAATTAGTTTAATTAAAGAAAAAAATGACTAAATAACTGACAGGTTGATGAGCTACATGGTCAGTGATTGTCCAAAATCACAGTTATCCTGGATGTAATCCTGACCACTCTTGTTTAAATATTGTCCATTAAATAGAAACAGAAAAAAATAGAACCACTAGGTTGGCTCAGTCACATGAAATACATATTTTCAAAAAGAACAAACTCAACATTAAAAAAGGGTGGAGTTAAAAATAAAGTCTGGTGAACTGCTGGAGCTGACTGGTAGTAAATGTGGTAGAATGTGGCCTAAAATGAAGCCACCCTGCATCTTTTTCTCTTAGTGAGCCCCTTCTCTGCTTGTTTTATCACAATCCCTGAGCCTCCAGATCTTGAAGTAGTTTTTTAAAAAAATTCTCCTTCCCCTGCTCTCCTCACCTCTCCAGCCCCATCCACTCAGTGGTCTGAGTCCTGAGCGTCATTCCTGACCCTGCATTTGTTTACCGGCCTCATTTTTACACCCAGTTAGTGTTTATGGCAGACACAGGCAGGGCTGGGTTGACAGCAGGCCCTGTAGCTGCACCCTGCCGCCGGGAGGGGGAGGAAGACGGTCTGTGCCTGGGACAAACGCAGGGTCGCCACTCTTGGGTGGTGCTACAGGAAATCTAGAGCCAGCTGTGGCCCAGGTGATAAAGGACTTTAGTGACTCTGGGTGGCCCATCCACTGATGCTTTCCCGGGTGATCTAGTAAAGGTCCAACAGCCTATCAACTTCCTCCTCTTTAGCAGGCCTGTCTTCTTCGTGGGCTCTTAAAACATCCCAGTCCGACAACCGCGCTGCAGGCTCCATTTCCAGCTCCTTCGCTGCACCTTAGACCCAGCATCCAGCTAACCTCCCCCCACAGTCTGCGCTTCTCCTCCAGGTCACTGGGGAAGGACTCTCCCTGTGGATCATCTCACCCCTCGACTCTCTCCCCTGCCTGTGAAATGGGATAACGGTGTCATCACCTGTCTCACACTGTCACCATTACACGGTAGCAGGCATGTGACGTGGTTGGCTCCGTGCCCGGCACAGAGTAGGGGCTCAGTGAGTGCTGTGAGTGCTCTGCCAGCATTCTCCCCCCACAACTGGGTGTCCTGGGGCCCCACATTTCCAGTTCAGAACCTGCATCACCATTTTCGCCCAACCACCCTGCCCTGGGAGCCTACATTTCCCTGGCCTTTCACTCTCTGCTCTCGGCCTGGAAAGCCTCCAGCTGTCCCAATCCTGCCCCCTTCAAAGCCTCCGACCTCCGCCTGTCTGTATGAAGCACCCAGGTCTCAAGGCTTCTCCTCTTTCTCTCCCCAAGTAAGTCCCACATGATTTTGGGGGGACGTGCACCCTTTTCCTGTTCCCTCATCACTTCGCATCTTTTCCTCCTTCTAGTCCATAAGCACCTGCAGGTGATCAACCCTGACTTGTTTGTCATATCCCATGTTGTTAAATATATTTTCAGATATGCGCAGAGCATTCAAAATATAACTGCATAGCAATAAACTGAATGTTTCATTGACTTTGATTAGTAACAGTTATCTGATGGTAAATGTTAACTGTGGTTCTGGAAGGATCCAGATGGGCTGCTGCGTGCCGCCAGCCAGTGTGCTTGCAGCAGGGATGTCCTACGGTCTCACGTGCTAGATCGCCGGGGAGACATGCTTAGGGCGAGGGCGGAGGGCCTTTCTCCCCCCGGTGCTAATTAGCTCCATGCAGAACATGCCACCTTCCCATTGTCACAGCCTCTCATCATGGAATCTTGACTAAGGTGGGAGTAAAAATGACAATTTCTAGAAGTAAAAACAAAACAAATGGATAGAATAACCACATCCTAAGAGGTGCCAAACTTTCCTCCCTTAGTGGAAATAAATGTTCTTTGCTTTTTAAAATTCAAGGAGAGAAAATTTCCATGCTAAAGGAAGAGACATAAATATTAATGTGTAGACAAAACGACCCGAGTTATCTCTTTAGGTCTCCCCGAGATCTCTTCACTGGCCTTAGTTTACAACGGGGAAATGGGGCAGAAAGATGCCAAGTCAGCTGTGGGGGCATTGGCGTTAAAAAGCGTCTGAAAAACAAAACGGATAGGTGTTGCCCTCCTGGGGTTTACATTCTTTTTAGAAAATGAGTGATACACATGGCAAATCAATTAAATAATTTTCTAATTGCAAATTGTTATTAGTGGTGCAAAAGTAATTCTTGTATGTGCTGTTATTGAGAATAACACAGATTACCTGCATGTGGGCCGGGAGGCCTATGAAGGTCTCTGAAAAGTGGCAGTTCAGTTGCCCTGTGAGAAGGGAGAGGTGGCCATGCCCAGGACGGGCTCTGGCAGCAAGTGCCCCAGGCTAAAGGGCCAGGGACACAGGCAGGTGCCAGGAGGACCTTGGCATCTTCCTGATACGCCACCTCTGCCTCACGTCATAGGGCCATGATTTTCAACCCTGTGCCACCAGATGTTTAGAACATGCGGCACCTGAATATTGAGTCAGGGCACTGACCTCTTTTCCCCTAGACTGTCAAATAAAAAATGACAACAGCCAACACAGCAATAGATTCCAGTGTGAATGAATCCAAATTATACTTATTTTTTTTGTCAGATTGGAAAAAATATATTTTTGGTGTGCCGCAGAATTTTAGTGATTTGTTTATGTGCCGTGAGATGAAAAGTTTGAAAATCGCTGTCATAGAGAACGTGACTTACATTTCTAGCGGGTTTCTCTGCCTGTTTGGTGAGAGGGGCTTGTGGAAAAAGGGACGCAGAAACGGGAAAATGATTTAGGGGCCTTCGCAGTATTTCCAGTAAGAGCAAGCATGGGCGGCCGCTGGCGGCCGTGGGAACGCGAGAGGGACAGTGTGACTGACGGCCGCCGTGCACTAAGTGGCGCCTGATTCCATCACTGACATGCAGGGTGGGGGCAGGGAGAGGGGGACTATTTTGAGGGAAAATCAATCCTTTCACGGCTACAGGAAACCCCTGTTCCCCCAAGAGGATGACTGAAACCTGGAACCGGAAGGCGGAGGGCACAGCCCTGAGCATGGTGCCCAGCCTGCCCACCAGGATGGCGGGGGAGCTGGGCAGCTGGTGCCAGGGTGGCAGACATGGGGAAGGGGCGCAGGCTCAGAGCACAGCCTCAGATACTGGAAGGTTCCACACTGATGCCCATGAAGACACTGGGAAAGGAAGAGGGAAATGGAAATTGGCTTCATGTTGTAAAAGAATATCACCTCGTATCATCTAAGTGAGGAGCTTGCGTTTTCCGTTTGATTATCAAGAACAGTGAGGTTATGAGTCACTGAGCTGAAGTGTGTTCACGGTGCTGTTGTGCTGGGTGGCATTGGCCACATGCTCGGTGCCTCTGAGCTTCTTCCTGGTGGCTCTGGGTGGGTTTGTCTTGTGCTCTGCACTTTGGTACCAAATTCCAACCTCTGAGAGTAAGTGAGATGCATTCGGCTTTTGCTTTCTGAGGAGCAGGCTGGCTCTCTCCCTGGCATCATGAGATGTCTTTCAGCGTGGAAACATGGCCAGTCCTTGCCAGCCCCTGTTCCTCAGTTTCTCAGCTCCAGCCCTGCAGGTCGTCTCGAAGTAGGAGCATTTCCTGCTCCTGGTTTCCACTCTTTCCAGGTTCTACCTAAATAACTGGAATATTGAACCAAACACTTGCATCAAATAGGAACTCAGTGTTACCTGAACCCCTGGTGCCTCCGAGCCTGGTCTTTAGTTGCATTATTTAATTTACTTTTCCTATAAGCTTTGCTCCTACATCACATCATGGCACACAGAAGGTTTTGAGTTGTAAAAAGATACATAGGTATTGTAACCCCAGAGTTCTTGTGCTTCCCAAATCCTGACTCAGGACTTAGATCTGTGAGCTTGGAACATAATTCCAGGCTCAAATGGGTGGGGAACCCCCTGCACTGTCATTGGTTCACCTTCACACACTGATGTCTTTAGTAGGAACGCTTTGT